GTCAATCCTCTTTCTTCTCCTCTGGGATAGTTTATTTTAAAATCATATACTCATCTACCAAAAATTTGTCTAGTCAGCGTAGATACTGTTTTGGATTGATTCAATAGAATAGCTATAAACCTTCATACTCTTTATTTCTCTGAAGAAAGAGAAAAACATCTGTGATAAAGTAATAATAATAATAATAATAGCTGTTATTGTAATAATAATATTCAGATCCAACCGATAGAGCCTTTCCCTCAATTCTGCTCCCTAGAAATGACCTACAATCTACATACATGAGTTATTCTCTCCTCAAGTAAGATTTAACACAGACCAGCATCTCAGTGCAAGTTGGGAGGGCTTTATCGTCTCCCTGAGTCCTTGTTCCCTGATTCCCTAAAGACCTGTATGTAGCTCCATGAGGGACTGTCACTTTCAGGGTCCCTCGTGGTAAATGGATAAGTCAACATGAAGAAGCAACAGAAGAAAGCCAGTGTAGGGAAAGAGGAGGCAGGAATCAGTCACAGATGGGAAGCATTCAAGGCTTAGTAATGATAGCAAATCACATCTAACGCCTACCTCCTATAGGAGACAGAGGATGAGACTGGTTACCAAGGAGACAGGTAGATGGAGGAGAGAGATGCTGGACACAAACTTCCCCCATAAGTAGGAGAAGGCAGCCAAGGCCAGACTCTAGCTCTTGTAGGGGAAGGCCTAAGCTCTGTCCTCCAGCTCTCTGAGCAAGCCCAGCATGTGGTCAGACCTGAGGAAGTGCAGGTCATAGATCAGCTTTCTAGGGATATAACTACCTCTGACAGTGGGCAGAGGATGAACCTGAGGAAGCCATCAGACCATCACCAGCACAAATGATTAGCTGCAGTGAAGTAAAGTAAATATATCAGGGTGGAAGGAGAATGGACATGCTCTGCAGGAGCACTGAATGCAAGTAGCCTCCTCCTTCTCCTAAAAGATAAAGCCGGTCACCATAAGTAAACCTGCCACAGGATGACAAATAAATTAGCCGATTGGTACAATTGTTGACACACCAGTTATTTAGCAGTCATCAAAGATTTGTTTAGACTTGTAGGCATTGGGCATTTGAAAGATGATTTATCATATATCACTGTGTGTTTGACATTTTAAAAAGGATGTTGGAAGCAATGGATTAGGCAGGGTCACTGCCCTCAAGAATCTAACAGTCTGGGCCATCTAGGATTTCTGGAGGGACTGATAGAGAAGCTGAACCTTGGCCAGAGGTAAAAGATAGGAGAGCAGAAAAGGAGGAAAAGGAGATTCTTGGGGAAGTACTGATGAGCATGAGATTGGGGACAGATGAGCCCATAGAGCAGATTCCAGTTCACAATTGCATCTTAGAAAGATTCTTGGTTCTTCAGGACAAATATGGATCCACAGAGCCAAAGCAATTAAACAATGGAGTAATGTATGTGGGAGCCAAAGAGACCGACAGCCACACCTGAATCTAGGATCCAAATTCCTGTAGGAGGACCACAGACTAGGAGGGGCCAGATGCATGACTGGACCAGAGTGGGAACTGAGTGACTGTGCATTGTGAGACAGAGGAGGTGCTCTCCGGGCACCTCTGCCACGTTTTCCACTAACAATCTCACTATGTCTCTTCTCCCTGCCAGCAACTGGACTTTACAGGGAAGGGGTACCCATCGCTTTTCTAGTGAGAAGAGTGGTCACATGACTAGCCCAGTCCACACTTTGGATCTTTATTAGGAATTTGGAAATCTTATAATATCTTACCTCTGTTTTTTTATTTTGTTTTGTTTTCTTTTTGAAGCCCTTTTCAGTTCTTTCCTTAAAATTCTTTGTGTTCCCCAAGGCTTTATTCAAGCATAACATGATCCCGATGATCTCTTATTGTGTATTGTTTGCAACCAGAAAAACCTCATCTGACTTTAGTGGCCTGGTAGGGAAACAAACCAGGTGGAGAAGAAGCCTGAATTGGGTTTTCCTGTAGGTTGGATGGGTGTTTTTTTTTTAAAGACTGGAAGACAAAGGGGAAATTTTTAAAAAGTTGGCTAAAAAGTCTTTTGTAAAACTCTGAAACTCATAGCACAGAGTGAAAGTTATCTTTGGCATATGGGCATAGAAAGTTCTACCCAGCAGCCTGACCTAATGACTTACCCAGACTTTGCTGGCTAATTCTTCCAGGAGGAGACTGACACATTGTGAAGATGCACCAGAGTTAGGCAGAGGAAGAACAGAACCCTAGATCTTGGTTCAAAGTCTCTCACTAATGAGCTGGGGAGCTTTGCACAGATGCCCACCTCTCTGAGATTCCCTTTCCTTCCTGTAAAAGACAAGGGCTGCATTACATTTGAGATTCTGAGCTTATATTCCAAGAAAGTTTTATGTTAACACCAGAAGAGGTTAACTGGGAAACTAGCGTCAGCAAACCTACAGCAAATCTCCAAGAAGGGGTAGAATGAACGACATATTTATCTTTGCCAGGGAAACCCTTTCCCCAAAGAAGAAAAGCATGTGGACCCAGGCATCTCTCAAAGACAGGTAGGTGTAGAACTCCTGGATTCAGTGATTTCAAGTCTCTGCACACCGTGGTGTTCTGTGTTCCTTGTGTCTTTTCCACTTGCCTCTTCCTTAAAGATGACTGACTGACTCTGAAGGACCCGTGTGGTCTATTTTAAGGCGTTTCTCCCAGGAAGCAGCACATTTGAATGCCTATGAAGTCATTTAAAGATCTAGTAGGCTCTCCAACCCTCCAGCAGCTTAACTAGAAACACACAGGCTTCCCACTGTGCTCAGAGAACCCACCCAGGCCCAGCCTGCAGGGCTGCAAACTATGCTTTAGCATGCATGCATTTGAGAAAACAAAGACAACCCTACTCTTAGCTGCTCCAGACAGTCTGAGATGCTTTTGTGCCCTTGGGTCCTTGCCCGGCCCTCTCATCTGCCTCAGTCCTGGTACTAAATTGGTTCAAGGTTTGTAGGAAAGCTTCAGAGGAAGGAGGCAAAGGCATGTTTGGAGTTCTTAAATGCTGAAGTCACCCGGAGAAGCAGAGCCTAGCTCCCTTCTGGCCACCAGAGGGCGATGGCAGTGGCATCTGGGCAGAAAATTATTCCCAAGAATAACAGCAGAAAACTGCACCTCAGGTTCTTACGAATGATGCTGGAGTTGGGGTAGGAGTGTGTGAGTGTGTGTTAGAGTGTGTGTGTGTGTGGGGGCAATTGGGTGCCTGGAGCTAAGACACTAAGTACAGTAAAATAAAGTTTGCACCTCTGCTGTATACGTATAGTATGTAGCCAAGTAGCCGAAAGTTGCCTTTAAGGAAAACGAAGAAATCAGAATAGCATTCATGTGAAAGAAAAGAGAATTCTCAGGAACACAGTTGTTAGTGATGTGTGAACCTACATGTTCTCCTATGTATGTGAATGCACATTGCATGTGACTGTGCATTGCATTAAGATTGTAGGGTGTGTGTGTGTGTGTGTGTGTGTGTGTGTGTGTGTGTGTGTAAGCAAGGCTCTTTCAGACCTTTCCCATATGAGAGGACCTCAAGGAAGTCTGGGCAATGCTTCCTCCTGTTCCTGCCCCTTCCCTTCAAACAAACAAACAAAATCATCCCTACAAGTATTTATGGAGCCTCTAACACAGCCCTTCCCCACCGGCATCTGGAAAAGCTCAGACCAGCCAATTTAGAGCAGGCACAGGCAGAATGAAGGCAAGTATGGGGGGGGGGGTGGCTGGGGGTAGAAGGCATGATGGGTGTCTAGCAGGATAAGGCACTATTTTGCAAAGTCACTTTCTCTTCTTGGATGCACCTAGGAGGTCGGGCAGGATTGTGGCACCTTTTTTTGAGGAGACAAAGGCTCACAGGTGACATGATTGGCCAGTCACCCAAACAGAAAGTACATGCTCAAGCCCTTGAAGTGGTGGTGCCAATATGTGCGTCTAAGTTCCCGCCTTTACTACTCTCAGACACATAACAAACAGGCATTGCTGGGCAAAGCTGAACTGGATTTCTTCTGGTAGAATTTGCCAGCGGTGACCTTCACCAAGGAACAGTGTGTGTGTGTGTGTGTGTGTGTGTGTGTGTGTGTGAGAGAGAGAGAGAGAGAGAGAGAGAGAGACAGAGACAGAGACAGAGACAGAGACAGAGAGAGACAGAGAGGGGGGGAGGTAGGGAGGGAGGGAGGCTGTGGAGTGTATTCCCACCCATAAGTCCTATAGGAAGTAGTTGTTGACTTTAGTGAATACTAGATGGGGCAGGGACAAAGTTTCCATGGATAAATGTGCCAGGGTACCGCGTGCTTAGAAGCTGTATAACCTAGGGTAGGGACTTCACTTAGTCCAACTGTTTCTTTTAACCGAAGAAACGTGAGGCCTCCATTCTGAAGCTCACATGTTGGGACTGAGTATCCAGCTCAGTGTCAGAATTGGGGGGGGGGAAAGCCACAAGCTTTAATAGTCCTTGGTTCCTAAGAATGGGTGAATTGCATTTTTTTCCCTGGGGCCCGGCTGGCCAAGTCCCTTTACTTCCCAGCTGGGTCTCTCTAGCTCCCATGTCGCCTCCTCCCTCCAGGCTCTTGGTTGCTCCAGCAAAGTTCCCAACTTAGTCGACGTGACGCGCAGAGCAGCCAATGGGAGGCGGAGCTGGTGTTTTGGGAGGGGGGCGGGAGGGCCGGGCCCCGCGTCTCCGGTGTCTGCTCTGCTCAGTGAATGGAGAGAGCGAGCGCCGGCCAGCTCTCCCGGCCACTCGGTGCCCTAGCCGCCACCGTGCTCCAGAGCCGGACTTCCCGGGGCGCCGTGCTCCCCGGCGCTCAGCCCAGGACCCAGTCTGAGCTCGCACCTCTGCCAGCGACCCAGAGGGACCCAGGAGCGCTCGGTACCTGGGCACCGTGAGTGATGCGCAGCGGGGCAGCGCCAGCCCCACGGATGGAGCTGCTGCCGCCGCCGCCCGGCGCGTCCCGCTCCGCCCGCGCCCCGTGCGCCTGAGCGCCGCGCCCGCCCCTCCTCCGCGCCAACTCCGCCGCCCGCCCCCCAGGCCGCCCGCGCGCCTCCTCGGGCTCCTCGTGTCCCGCCACACCAGGCAGCCTCTTCTGGGTTCGGGCGCTTGCACACCATGGCCCCGGGGCGGACCTGGGCCGGCGCCGCTGTGCGCGCCCGCCTGGCGCTGGCCTTGGCGCTGGCGAGCGTCCTGAGCGGACCCCCCGCTGCCGCCTGCCCCACCAAGTGTACCTGCTCCGCAGCTAGCGTGGACTGCCACGGGCTGGGCCTGCGCGCCGTTCCCCGGGGCATCCCCCGCAACGCAGAGCGCCTGTGAGTACCCACCCCGCCCGCGCAGGCCACCCACCCCGCTCAGGCAGAGTCGCCCTCGGGGCGCCAGGTCTTTCCCTCCTCTCTCGCGCGCCGGGGACGACCTCAGTTCTCCCCTCCGCCATCAGACGCGCTAAGTTGGGGGTAGCGTGGCTTTGGGCAGGTGTGGGGAGAAGTGTCCGAGTTCCCCGGCGATGGGGACCCCGTAGTGCCTCTCTGAGGGAGCTCATCCGCTGACAGCTCCAGAGAAGAAAGCTGGTGGGGAAGCGTGGTGGTCTCGAGGTTTGAGGCTGTGTATAAGGGGTCCACGCTCCTTGCTTCTTAAAGAGAGGGTAAGGGAGCAAGCTAGATGGAGATGGGGAGGTCTCGATTGCAGACCCGAGGGAACCACTCCCAGCCCCCCCCCAAAAGCTGTGCCCTCTTTGGAGATCAGAATGAGCCAGCTGCTGTGTGGCTGTCCTTGCAAGGAACGCTGAGAGTGTAGGTGAAGGTCTTAACTTCTGAAGAACCGAACGGATTCTGAGTGGGTGCTCTTAACACATTCCCTGCGCAGCTTTGGGGATGCCAAGTTGCAGCCCGGGTGAATTTTTTATGGCTGGGTTATAAATGCCTCCCCAAAAGGGCCAGAGGATGGAAATGCTGACAGCCCTTTAAATGAGACCTAGCGCTATAATCTTACAAACCGCACTCAGCCTCGGGATCCTGGGGTTGGCAGCTAGCAGACTGGCTCTTGTAGAGTGGGGTGGATTGACCCTCGTTTTAACCCCAATTGTGCAACCAAATATTTACTTTTCTTATGTCAGCGTTTTGGAAAGATTTATCATTTTGATCCTCAAGACCAATTCAAAGTTTGGACTCTGGGGGTGGGCTCCTTTTAGTCCACAGTTGGGGGCGGGGTGATGGAGCTGGGAGCAGTGGTGGAGGGAGCTGGAGCCAAGGAGTGGGTGAGGGTTTGCACTGATCAGAATCCCATCCATTGCACTGGCCAGTTGCACTCTACCTGTCTTAGGGGTAGGCACACCGATCTTCCTCTGTCCTGCCTTCTTTAGGTCAGGAGAGCCAAGGAAGGAGCTGAATTGCCCTTGGCTGCCCACCGCTTATCACCTCAACTCCTCTCTTCTCTTCCCTTTCCTCTTCCTTACTGTCTAGGCGGAGACTTCTTAGAAATGCCTTCCTTATGTTTTCTTTTGTTTGCTGTTTTCAAAGTGCAAAGATTGTCCCGTTGCTTGAAATGTAGAATCCTGGAGGGCTGGCCCTGCAGCTTCATTAACACCAGGAAATTAGGATCAGAAATGCAAACTAACCTGCTCAAGAAAACAGGGCAAATAAGTGACAAGGAAAGGGCCAGAATCCAGGCATCCACACCTTCAGTCAGGTTTTGTCTTAGACCCTAGTAGTGAAAATCTCATGTGAATGGTGTTTGTAGGTGCGTATAAACTAAGTTCTCCTCCTCAAGTGAATGCTGCAGATGAGTGAGTGAGGTGATGACTGTCAATGTTTAGTGAGTTTTCTGTATGCCTCCTTGAGGCTCCCCAGCCGTCTTGTTTCTTACATAGGCAATGCTCATTACTCTGCCTTGTTCCATCTTGCCATATATTCACGGTCATGTAACCAGTTAAGTGTTTGAATTGCAGCCTGTCAGGCTTCTAAGCCCAGGTCTCTTGCCACTCTGCAAACAGACTCCTTGGGACCAGAGTCAGTTTGGGCCCTGATGTCTAGCCAGACAGTCCTGGGAGGAGAGGGTCTAGCTGGGCTTGGATCTTAGGGTAGGACCCAGTTGCCTCTGCTTTTGGTATATACTGCCACCATTCATTTTTGGGGTCATGAAACTATTTTCCATAGTCAGGATCATGTTGTCAGTTTGGGAAGATCAGGGCAGTGGACTTCCCTCTTCTGACTAGTTTTCAAAAACTAGTCAGTGTGTCACCAGCCATGTCCCCCGGAGACCCTGATGACTTAGTACATCTGCTCTATAGCTGGAAATAGTAGAGAAAGACCTGGATGAAGGGCATTCCCATGGGCATCCTTACTGTAGTCATTGTCACCACCAGGCATGGGCAAAGTAGGTGCTGCTCTGACATGTCTGTGGCTATCTGGTGCAGCTTTGGTCTCTGGTAAGGGTTTGGCTTTAAGTGCTTGGATATGACAGAGCTGCCAAGTCTGACCTCTCACCTCTATTCCAAGACTAGAGGTAGCCTTTTAGAGCAAGCAGGGTCGAACCACCTCAAGTTCAAGGGCAGCCCTTCACCACCCAACCTGGCTCTCAGGGACTCAGATGGAATGTTGTAGTACTGTTCAGTCACACCATGTTATGGTTTTCAAATCACACACACACACACACACACACACACACACACACACACACACACACACACCATTGCTTGAAGCTTCTGTAGCATTGCTGTCCCTGTTCATAAAAATCATTGCATACTCAGAAGAAAACCAACACTTCAGCTTAAAGGATGTGGGCAAGGGTTGGCAGTGGGAACCTTTCTTGAGGAACACTTTAAGTCCCCTGCAGGGTCCTTCTGTCACGGGACACTGATATTTATCATCATTCTCCCAAATGGTGAAATTGTGATTTGAAACAAAGAAGCAGTGCCTTCAGGTTCTCCATTTCTATCCAGAAGGCTTCTTGGGAGGGAGGGAAAGAAGGATGGAGGGAGGGAGGGAGGGAGGGAGGGAGGGAGGGAGGGAGGGAGGGAGAAGAGAGAGAGAAAGAGAGAGAGAGACAGAGACAGACAGAGAGATAGAGAGAGACAGAGACAGAGAGAGATTGATTCCCTTAGACATATGACATTAAGGACAGCCTGAGTGAGAAGGATGTAGTAGTCACCATTTGGACTTGGCTTCAGGGTAGGAATGGGGTCTGAATTGTTCATCATTAAGCCACTATCAGAGTTGGGGGATTGTCTGTGTTCCAAGTTCTTCCCCATAATGTCAACGCATCACACAGAAAAGGAAACCCTCTGTCTTTTATAAACTACTGACATTCTCCCCCTCCTAGAGGAGGAGGTAACACCCACAAGTAAGCTAAATAAACGGAGGGGAGAATTCGGTGTCATTTATTATCCAAGCAGCAAAGACAGAGGCCCAGGGAGGAGAGGAAGTCAATGGTGGAGCTTGAGACAAAACATTTACCAGGGAGTGCAGGGTAAACAGATGTTGCGTTTGCCCTTCTGAGTACAAAAGGAACCCACAGATGTAATTCTTCTCCAACCACAGCCTCAGCCTGCATGAAAATGAACCCTCATGTGGGGCCCCTTCTCCCAGGCCTGCCCTGAGGCAAGCATGGGCCCACCTCTCACCCACAGCTAGGTGGTGGCAGTGGGAGCAAGAGTGGACATCTTGGCTTTTTCCACTTGGCTCCAGAACATGCTGGAAACTGCTGTATTTAAATAAACATTTCCTGTTTGCGAAGGAGAGCGGGCGAGAGTCTGAAACGTGAGAATGTGGTAACTTAATTTTCTCCATCACTCCAGATGACAGCAAGCTTTGCCGGTGGTTGGGTCCAATAAAAACCGACACCGTGTCATAGGCTTTCCCTCACTTGACCACAGAGGTCCAGAGGTCAAGTGGGAGACTTTCCAAGATGCTCAACAGCCAAGCCCAGCGTTCTGGTACTCCCAGCCCTCAGGGCCAGCTAAGAGGACCAGGGACAATATGGCAAGTTATGGGACCTCTTTGGGCCAACCATGGTGGTGTGGCCTTTCAGAGAGGCACAGGACTCTTCTGGATAGCATACAGAACAGGGAAAGGTACCTTCCTCCAGGGTACTGAACAACTTTGAGCAGATTGCTGTGCCTCTGGACTTTTTTCTTAAAAGTAGAATTCTGGTGTAGTTTTTGTGATTTTCCTTATGTAATATGTAGTTCACCCGTGAGCTGTCACAGTATTCCTCCTCTGTGCCTAGACCAGTGTCTGGCACTGAGGAAGTTTTCAACCACCGTGTGTTGACCAAAAGGCTCACGAACCTCAAGAGCACAAGGGCTAGGTGGGCTATTACAGATTTGAATTTTGATGCGTGGCCAAGGGCTACCTCCTAGTAATGTTTTACATGAGATACTGCGATCTAAAATTTGAATTTCATGAACTAGAATTTTTGCCTTAGTGGAGTTTCCCCCCTAAGACTCTGACTGCGCGATCCACTCTGAAGTCTGGTTGCCAGGCATTGCTTAGCAACATCGCAACACTCCTACTGTGCACATGCCAGTGGAATGAGCCAGGGATCCTGACTACTTCTGCCACAGGACTTTTTAATCAGGAACTCATCAGTGGCATCCTGAGCTCTCTGTGTTTTCTGATTGCTGCTCTTCTGGCATTAATTGATGTGTGTTTGTAGGGTCATTATTAAGTTTTGTTTCTGCCATTCTTCTGGGTTTTCTATTCTGCTTCCCCCCTCCCTGCCATTTCCATTGTTATTTTATTTCTCTGGGGTTCTGTCTATTGTCTGACTTCACAACCTCCACCCACACCACACCCAGGAAAGTGAAAATGAAGGGTGGGTGGGGACAGTGGAGTCTTTTGCCTAGACCGATGGGCAGGACGACAAGGATTTAGATCCTCCACCGCGTTTTGGGCATAGGCTCTGGCAGCTTTGAACTTGGGTTTGGAGCCCTGTTCTGCGGCACGCGTGCTTGCCGGTGCACCTCTGCTGACGCCGTGCTGCTCTGGGCTGCAGTCTGTTTAATCTCTTTTGTGCCTCATTTCCACACCTGTAACACAGGGATGATAGTCACGCGGGGACGTTGTGAACGCAGCCCGAGGCAATCCACATAAATGTGCTCCGCACGGTGCCTGCCATACTGTTCTCTCATCGTCGTGGCTGCGATTATTTACCCAACTGCAGTTTATCCAGCTGTAAAGTATGTATAATACCCGTTCCCTTTTGGAAGGATTAAAGTGATCGTGTCTAGGAAGTGCTTAGCAGTACCTGGCACATCGGAGCCCTCCACAAACTTGTAACGGCCATGCTGTGGCTGTGTTTCCATTTGCTCATCTCA